TTTTTTTTCAGTTTCAGGTGTGTCCCAAAAGTCTATGTGTATCTACTCCTGGACATCGCACTGATCTTTTTCAGAGGGATCCTAAAAATGTCCTGATAACTGACTTCTTTGGAAGTGTACGGAAAGTGGAAATTACAACAGAGACTGTTAGCTTGCAACTGGATTCAGAAATCATGGAAAGCAGGTATTCATATTAAATTATTATTTGAATAGAACATTCTAGTCTAACAATTTATAAAATCAGCTGAAACCTAATATTAAGACAAAAGTTAAGTGTTTGTAAGTAAAATTATACATTTCTAACGAATCTTGCATTCTAGTCTAACAATTTATAAAATCTGTTGAAACCTAATATTAAGAGACAAAAGTTAGTGTTTGTAACTGAAATTACACATTTCTAACCAATCTTCACTTTGTATAATCCTTGTTGTTTTTCAGATATATGGGTATAACTTATAATTGTCACTGGGAAGCTAAGATCATGATTACATTTATATTTAGAATTTCAAGATACAGTGCTTACGGTAGTGCGATTTAAGTCTTGCTACAATCACCTGAAACTTTCTTTATGACGGTTGTTTCACAGCCAAACTTTCCTGTCAGTGGAGGAGTATAGATAATGGCTTTTTTTTTATTGTAAATTGAGTGATAGTTTTCATGGGAGAACATCAGTTTTACACTGATAGTTTCATTGCAATGATTATGGTCTCCTCCATGCATCATCATTCAACAGTATTTGCTTTTATTCCCTTTGTTTTTTTGGGGGTGGGGTGGGGCAGGGAGTGATGTACACAAAAAACACTCAGGATTATATAATAATTTAAACAATCAAAGGGCACATTCTGCAAGTCTGCCTCCTGGCCACCAGCATATAGCCTTTCTTTTTCCGTAAGTCTAGAGTCCTCAGCTGCTCTATTTTTCCATGACCTCATGTCAGAAGATTTTTATGAAAGTGCAAATATATGGACATTGCTTTTACTTAATGCTGTGGTGTTGGTGGTGATTATGTGCTCTGGAGTTCATTCCGACTCATAGTGACCCAGTACTGATGTCTGAGACTGTAAATCTCTACAGGAGCAGATAATCTCATCTTTCTCCAATGGAGTGGCTGGTAGATTCGAACTGTTCATCTCCTGGTTAGCAGCTCAGCTCGTAACCTACTACACTACCAGAGCTACATGCTTATTACTGTAGGAGCTATGAAGTAATGGGACATTGAATAGGGAAGTTGGCAGCTGGGTATTTGGGGTGTAATTTAGGCCTTAGGAAGCCTGGCAGTTGCTAAGGCAACATACATAAAAGGGGGAAGTAAGTTCCAAAAGTATGTAGATGCCAAATACATACTTCCAATCATAATACAGTGCTCCCATGTTCAGAATTTTTCCAGGTTCAAGCAATCTGGTTACTTTTCTGGCAACCACTTATTTTGGTTTCTAAAATCTGGGTGGTTTGTTAATCAGTAGAATTCTATTAAGACTTGTTTTATGTTCTTACAAATGGAATTTTGGCATGTAAACTATCTCCGTGTTTTAGTTTGAAATTGAAGATTGCAAGTGCTATAAATTGTCCTAATTTATATTTAATTGAGAAAATTATTTTAAGCATCAAAGCTGCTTACCAACAACTGTTGAATTAGAGCACCCTCTAGTGTTTATAGTAAATTTTATTGTTATTGCTATTTGCCAGATAGTTTTCATGATTGCTGGTCTACTTTTATGCAGTTAACTTATGAGAATTAAGTTTCCAACAGCATTATTTGAAAACAGGAAAAGTGTGTGTTAGAGTACTGTCCTTTCACCATATTTGCTCAGTCTGTATGCTGAGCAAATAATTTGTGAAACTGGATTATATAAAGAGGAATGTGGCATCAGAATTGAACCTGCAATATGCAGATGTTACAACCTTGATTGCTGAAAGCAAAGAATACTCTAGCTATTTGCTGATGAAGATCAGAGAGCACAGCCATTAGTATGGATTACAACTAAATGTGAAGAAAACAAAAATGCTCACAACTGGACCTATGACATCATGCTTTGAAAAGTGGAGGGTCAGTGAAAAAGAAGAAGACCTCCAATGAAATGGATTGGCACAGTGGCAGCGGCAGTGACCTTAAGTGTAGCAATGATAGTGAGGTTTGTACAGAACCGGGCAGTGTTTTGTTCTGTTGTGCATAAGGTTGTTGTGAGTTGGTACTGACTTAATGCAATGAACAAAATGCAGTCTATGGGTTTAGATTATCCATGTTTCATGTTTTGTATACTAGTGTACACTAGACTAAAATCATATGTGATAGAGAACTTTAGTCCGTAATATATTTGACTAGATGATCTATGTGAAATGTTTTTTATATCTAGATATCATGTAAGTCATATACTTAATAGTAACACTTTGTTATGGTTTACTGATTGTGTTAGTTTATTTACAGGAGCAGATGGTTAGATGAGGACTAGTTGTAATAAGCTTGGCTTATTTAACACCCTTCTGAACTGCTTTATGGAGTCCCCATGTGGTGCTGCAGGTTAATGCACTGGTCTAAAAGGTCAGTTTGAATGCCAAGATCGGCATTGAATGCCAGTTGCTCTTCAGAAACCCTACACAGTATCATTATGAATCGGAACTGACTCAACAGCACTTAACAACAAAATTGCTTTATAAAAGTCCATGTAGGTATACTTTGGATGTTGTTGTTGTTAAGTACCTCTGAGACGGTTTCCACTCATAGCAACCCTATATAGGGTTTCCGAGGAGCAGCTGATGGGTATGAACTGCCAACCTTGTGGTTTGCAGTTCAGTGCTGATCCTACAGCAACACAGCAGGAGAGTCCTATTGTTGTTAAGTACTGTCAAATTGGTTCCAACTTCTAGTGATCCTCTATACAGTTTTCAAGATTGACTGGTGGATTTGAACCACTGAGTTTGTGGTTAGCAGTCTAGTGCTTATCCTACAGTGTCATAGCAGGTCTCCATTTTGGATAAGTATGCAGATAAATAAACAACCTTCTCTCCTTGAAGAATTAGGCTTTCTAGATCTAGTAATAGTTCTATGTCAGCATACTTTTTAATGCAGATGACCAGTTCTACGTCCATATTTCATTGGGAAAAATAGCCTCCATGTTGTGTATGTAAGGATTTTGGATTATTTAGTGTTACAAAATGTAGAAGTCTAAATTCTGTAGGTATTGCCCAAGGAAAAGTGGAATGTAGGATAATATCAACTGTAAATCCTCAGCTTTTAAATTGGTTGAATTGACAAAAGTTTACTTTTGCTTTAGGCTTTAAATTTAAGTACTTTTCTCTATCGTAATTTTTGTTAGTTGCATGGGAATTTCTTTCTCTAGTCAGGCAGTCTTTGTTGGTGTTAGGTGCTTTCGAGTTGATTTAGTAATTGTAATTTATGAGTGTAAAAATGGTATGGAGACCCTTTGTAACCTCCTCCAACTTCAAAATGGAGAAGGAGGGGTATCAATATGTCAATTCCTAGGAGGAGGAGGTGGTCCAACATACCTTCTCTTTATAATCTTCTTTACCCTATGTGACACGAACCATCATTTCCATGGCAACTGTACTTCTCTGTTGGGTTCCATTATCCATTGCAGCTGACACACAGAATTCACAGCCAATACTCATGATTATGGGGTGTATTAGGGAAATTGACAAGGTATAATTCAGGATCAGAAACAACTGAGGATACCATAATTTTCTGGTCAGAAACACCTCTTCTCAGCTTTACTGCAGGCACACCTTGCTCTCATCCTCAGCCTTTCAGGCCCATCTCCCCTTGGCCTCTGCTCTCTTAGATAAGTGCTGCAAACTCCTTTAGCACTGCCAGGAAATGCCTAAGGGTGTCCAATTCTGCAAGTCCATTAATGGCCTTTTGCCTAAAGGTACTCAGCTTTTTTAGTCCCTGTGCCAGGAAATTGCCCCTACCTCTGCTGCATCTGCGCAGCCTCTGCTGCTACTCTGCACTTCTCTGTCTCTAAGCCCAAAGATGTGCTCTGCCCATGGCTCTTATTTCTTGATATTATTATTATTATTTTTTTAATGTCTTATTGTTAATTATGGAGCTCTGGTAGCGTAGTGGTTACGAATCGGGCTGCGAACCTTAAGGTCAGCGGTTCGAAACTACCAGCTGCTCCACGGGAGAAAGATGAGGCTTTCTACTCTCGTAAAGATTTACACCCTTGGAAACCCTGTACAGGGTCGCTATGGGTCGG